TTAATTTGCACTGCAGTGAGTTTCTACCTTACTCGGTCATACAGTAAATGAGTAATTATATAAAAGCTCCAGCAATTGGGGAATAACATTACTTGTGATATTTGAAAATTCCTTCAAATTGCACTCACCTAAAGCCTTCTGCACTTTTAAGGGAATTTTCACGTATGATCACAGACACTAATAGTGTAAATCTTGCAAGAGTTCACATTCAAATCAAATCCTATACTGACACTACAAATAGTTATTTTGCTCACTGACAGTAGTTGGTCATGCATTTTGCAACTGATATGGATGAGGAATTTTTCCTTCAGTATCCGAGTATCAACAGTACTTACTTTTATTTGTAACCCAACGCTCTGAACAATACTCATAAAATCAATTTTGTCACATTCATCATCCAAGTATTTTTTGTCTTCCTCACTCATGTTATAGCAGTCTTGATGGCTTGTGATGTCTGAGAATGTACTACTGTAAGTAAATAATGGTACAAAGACAATGTGAGCAAACAACATACAAAGTGACAGAACATCACATAAAGTTCATTTATATTTTGTTAAGGGTAAAATGTAGCATCAGTGAGTGAGCGAGTCTCTGAGTCAAGGTACAAAATATATTTAAAATTATATACATAAATGTTGAAAGGCCCTGGCACAATAGGCCATGTTTCTGAGTCACCTTTTCAGTGGTGGATCTAGGGGAAAGGCCTGGGAGGCCTGACCCTCCTTTATTTTGGGTAAAAAAGAAGAAATCACTGAAGTAAGAAAAGCTGTCAGGGCAAGCAAAACACCNCTCCGCCACCTTCCTTAGCTCAAGGTCTGGATCTGCCACTGCTTTCGCCTTTGTGCCAAAACAAGTCTGCAAGCAAAACCATTTATGGGAAAATGTGTTCTTCCTGCAGGTTTATTTTCATGCAAATCAAACTCACCTTTTCACAAGGACTTAAGTTTTGAATCAGAGGCACAGGGTAACTCTGAAATGGCTTATAAAGCTGTCTTTGCAAATTTGAGATTGATT